CTTTTGTATGGTCTCCTACCCATTCGAATCTATCGTCCGGCCTGGCGTCCGTTTCGGTTTGCGTTATTATGTAATGTTACGTGCGAATAACCGCATGTACTTACATGCCACGTCGGGTAAAATGCTGTTGCATCGCTATTAAAGAAAATTGCCTACTCGCGGCGGTGAATAGGAAACATCATGCATTCTTCGACACGGTCATCGACGTATTGAACTGCTCGTTCGATCCGAGAACATAAATTCTGCTGCACGGTATCACTCCAGCGGGAGTTACTAGTAGTAGTAAAAAGAATAAGTTCGACAGCAGTGGGATATTTTAGCAAAGTGCTTTTTGTAGGATGCGAAATATGTAACAGAGAATCCGGGGAACTTTAGATGCTGTTCTAGGTACGTATAAATTGTACATTTGCCAAATGTCTGAATTACAAAATTTTATTTTATTTTATTTTACTTTTTTTTTTCTGATCACTGAATAATGTAAATACCACTTATTTCAGATTTTCACCAAGTTACCAAACCGTGTTATCTCTATCGTCAAACGACATTTAAATCCAGCTATAGTCTGTCTCTCAAACATCAAAGATAACAATCTCGACCGTCTTTTAATGATTGTCATTTGTGGTATTTGTTCCTCCTACAAAATTATCAATGCGGTAATTGCGACGGCAAACAACGAATGCACTCCTTATCGATCTTTGTTTTCCGCAATCGTTCTCACAACGGTGATGTTAGATTGTTGATTTGAATTTTCCAATAGAGTTCTCTAGCGTTATAAAAATATCGCGAAATGCATCACGGCAAGGTTATTATCATCGCGTCACTTGACACTCAGTGTGCAAGGGGAAGTGCGCGTGAATTAAAATGTTGGACGACACTGAAATACACACGGGAATTTTTTCTGTTACGCTACGCAATAATTAAACATCGATATATACTTAAAACAAATTGTTTTCCAACTTGGCAAATCTTTTTAATCATTAAATTGCCATGGTTAACGCAATCTGGCACAGTTCTTTTATTAAATTTCAATTTTTCTTCAAATAGAAATATCTTATACTCTATATTCAGGAATCTGAATGATCGAATTTCGTATAATTTAAGCGATTTGTTCCGACATTGCATCACTTCATCTTAAATGAATTCGTTCAAATTCGAAAATGCAATCTAATGATGCAAGTAATAATATAAACACTACACATATATACATAACCATTCAAATTCAAAAAATAGAAAACTAAAATGAAAGCAAAGCGTCGTTGTTTCAGCGATTATTCGAGATAAAGAATTTCACTTTGAAAGGGTGCCGACAAAATTGCCATTTGAACTTCTAAAATCGTTTCGGAAACGATCGATTTATCTCTCTCTCTCTTTCTTTCTCCAACTGAGCTATCCGAAGAAAAACAGGAAGGGAGAAGATGAAGAGGAGAAAGGAAAGAATAAGAGGAGGAGGAGGGGAGGTCCACGACCGGATCTTATAATTACGCTAATTAGGCAGTAACGCGTAAAAAGAGCGGCGCGAGTATTTATCGCAAGGTATCGTGGAAGGTATACGGAGGTCGGCAAAGGAGGACGTCGTACGACAGAATACGACAGGAAAGGCTATAATACAGTTTTGCCGCGAGCATCAGAAGCAACAGCAGCAGTCACGGCGGTAAGCAAGCAAGCAGCAACGCCGGTGTCGAGAAACACAGGCAACTCTCTCTGACGTTGGTTTCGTTGCACGTTCCTCGCGTCTGACAGATGTCTAATTTGAAAGAGATTCAAATGTAGGAATACGTTCTTAAAAACTCAAACCAAAGACTTTGTAACAATAAACGTGTTTCATTGCACGTTGAAATAGCTGACGATTGGAGTAAAATTGATGATGAGTATATCAACTAAGAAGAATCATTAAATCTATCGTACGCTTAAAGATAAATTTCCAACATGTTTGTCTTTCAACATGTTTAATTGTTACAAACTACTTACGAACAATTAAA